TCTCTCTCTTTCTCTCACTCAGTTAATATCAGAAATTGAGAAGGAAAGAAGCCAATTTTGACCAAACCCAGAAGATGAGGAGAAGATCGATTACGATTGCGTTTAGGGCTAAAAGTTTTGTTCATCAGAATGTTCTCGAAAAAGGTAATTTTTACGGTTTCCATTGCTTGGAACGAGCTTTCTCTGGTGGTAGCTATGGTTGCAGNGAGAAGATTAGAGATGGGTTTCTTCATGATATTAAGTTAGACGATGCTATGGATTTGTTTAGTGAGATGGTAAAGTCTCGTCCTTTGCCTTCCATCGTTGATTTCAGTAAACTGTTGAGTGCTATTGCAAAGATGAAGAAGTTTGATATTGTGATCTCTATGGGCGAGAAGATGCAAATGTTGGGAATTTCACATAGTCTCTATACTTACAGTATTTTGATTAACTGTTTTTGCCGCCGCTCTCAGCTCTCTCTTGCTTTAGCTGTTCTTGGAAAGATGATGAAACTCGGGTATGAGCCTAGCATTGTCACGCTTTCTTCACTTCTCAATGGATACTGTCAAGGTCGTAGGATTTCAGAGGCTGTAGCTTTGGTTGATCAGATGGTGGAAATGGGATATAAGCCTAATACAGTGACATTCAACACTCTAATCCATGGACTTTTTCTCAACAACAAAGCTTCAGAAGCGGTGGCTCTAGTTGAACGGATGGTTGTGAAAGGCTGTCAACCAGATCCTTTTACTTATGGTGCGGTAATAAATGGAATATGTAAGAGAGGTGATACTGATTTGGCTATAACTTTGCTCAAGAAGATGGATGAAAGGCAAATAAAGGCGGATGTTGCAATCTACAACACGGTCATTGATGGTCTTTGCAAATACAGAAACGTGGATGATGCTCTTCACCTATTCAACCAAATGGAGAACAAAGGAATCAGACCTAATGTTGTTACCTACAACTGCCTCATAAGTTGCCTTTGTAATTACGGAAGATGGAGTGACGCCTCTCGTTTACTACGTGATATGATTGAGAGGAAAATCAACCCCAATGTAGTCACTTTTAGTGCGTTGATTGATGCGTTTGTGAAAGAGGGGAAGCTTTTGGAAGCTAAAAAATTGTACGAGGAAATGATCCGCAGGTCTGTAGATCCTGATACTATCACTTACAATTCACTGATCAATGGGTTTTGCATGAATGATCGCCTTGATGAGGCCAAAGATATGTTTGATTTGATGGTTAGCAAGGACTGTCTCCCAAATGTAGTGACATATAATACTCTTATAAACGGATTTTGCAAGTCTAAGAGAGTAGAAGATGGCATGGAACTCTTCTGTCAAATGTCTCAAAGAGGATTGGTTGGAGACACAATCACTTACAATAGTCTTATCCAAGGTTTTTTTCAAGATGGAGATTGTGAGAATGCCCAACAAGTTTTCAAGCAGATGGTTTCTGATGATGTGCCTCCCAATATTCTGACGTACAACATTTTGTTAGATGGTCTTTGTAAAAATGGGAAGCTAGAGAAAGCATTAATGGTATTCCAGGATCTGCAAAACAGTGAAATGGAACTAGATATTGTCACGTATAATATTATCATTGAAGGGATGTGTAAGGCTGGTAAGGTTGAAGATGGGTGGGTTATATTTTGTAGCCTCAGCCGCAAAGGAGTGGATCCTAATATTGTAACATATAATACAATGGTCTCAGGATTTTGTAGGAAAGGTTTAAAGGAGGAAGCAGATGCCTTATTCAGGAAAATGAAAGAAGAGAGGCCTCTCCCAAATAGTGGTACGTATAATACGCTGATTAGGGCACGACTTAGAGATGGTGACAAAGCTGAATCAGCAGAACTCATCAAAGAAATGAGGAGTTGCGGGTTCTGTGGAGATGCTTCGACAATAAGCATGGTCTTTAATATGTTGAATGATGGGAGATTGGAAAAAAACTTTCTGGACATGCTTTCTTAAAGACATCCTTGAGGTACTTCTCGATGCAATCCTTATTAATATGTCTGATTAGCTTTCTGTTAAGCATTATTTGGTCAGATGATCCAGTCATCGATCACTGGATAAATGAGTCCACTGATTTGATGTTAATGGTATGTAACTGAGGTTTTGATTTGATTCCAATGCCTGAATTTTGAATATCCTGGTCTCTTTCGATATCAAACTTTAATTGCAGTTTTGGTGATTGCATGTTCTTCTCTGTTTCGAGAATCAATAGGTAACTCCATCGAAGGAATTTTCATCTCATGGTACATTACCTTTTTGTGTCTTCTTGCAGTGGCGCAAATCATTGCACATATGAACAATGCATTGGCGTTGCGTTCTTCACTGAATTTCATAGTTCAAGTACTGAAACTGGACAGTACTTGTATGTTTGTGCAACCAAGTGCAGGGCAGGTGATCTTTGAGTTTGGGGATACAGATCGTGGACCCCTTTTCTTGTGATTACTTGCAATTCAGTCATCATGTTACATATGTATATTCATTCCCTTATGTTACATCATTTCATGAGATAAACATGTGTATATTCATTCCCTTATGTTGTGTCTGATCTTTCTCATGAGCTTTACTTATACTGTTCTTCATAATATCTTGTGGGATTACAACTTTCGTTGTTTAGAACTTGAGTTATGCTGCTCAATCTAGCTGAAATTCTAGTTTTGATTAGTTTTTGTAGCCCGTTTCGTAATGAATTCTTGATCATGAAGATGGGTTACACAGAGACTATAATAATCCACCTTCTGTTCGCTTCCAGCTTTTGAATAGCTTTGTCTTTCATTTGTTTCTAGAAGCTGAGTTTGCACATCTGCAGGACCAATACTCTGGTGTCACATTTTGCATTATCGCAGGAACAAGAGTCTTGCGAGTTTTTGCCTTAAGAGTAAGCCGCTCTTGCGAGTTTTTGCCTTAAGACCTTATAAGCCAATTCAATGATCTTCGTTTTTACAAGCTGCTGATACTCTTGTGGATCAGAGATTTTACATTGTTTTGAGTTAACTAACTTACTGTTGCCTTGAATTTTTGGTGAATGGTCAAACCACCATAGTTAAAAGTTAAAACA